AGGAACAATCAGATCTCTGATATCAGATGGAGCTTGGCCATTTAAGGCTTTATATGTGAGAAGGAGGATTTTAAATTCTATTCTAGATTTAACAGGAAGCCGATGGATCCTTTCTGTCCTTTTACTGCCTGTCAATCATCCTCTCTCACTGGTTGTGATCATTTTCCAGATATTCATCACAATAATCATTTTCATTTATCCCTGCAGGGAAAATATGAACATAAACCGGGAGTTTAGATTTTACTTCACTTCTGCAGGAACGTTTGATGGTTGAATGAAAGGTTGATAACATCCCAGAAACAACCTGTTCTGTTGGACCTGAGCAGCAGATTAACCTCCTGCTGTCTGAGGAACTTCCAGGTGTTATTAGATCTGATTTATAACAAAAACAAGCAGAGAATAGTTCCCCCCCCGCCTCACTGTTCCTCATTTTACACATTTTGAAGCGTCTAATTTCTGTGATCTGGTGATTTTTCCCTCCAAATGAAACCCAGTGTTTCCTGAATAAATCATAATTAAATATGCAGGACAGTTTGTTTCCTAAATTCATCTGCAGAGGAGAGGATTAGTCAGAATGTAAGGTTGTTTCAGACGTATTAAAAGGTTGGATTAAGGTCGGCGCTCATCAGCTAATGCATTTATATGCTAATGTGTGTTAGCATGCGGGCTGCAGAGTAAATAAGCAGCGCAGCCTCAGGGCGACACCAGGGAAGGTCAACTGGAGGAAAAGTCCAACTCTGCAGGAAGAGCCTCTGTTCTGGATGAGTTAGCATCTTCACATGTAGCTCAGGACTCATCTAAACCTTTGGAAGGCGGAGATTTATTTGATAAACAGACCCAGAGAGCTGCAGATTCCAAGCAGACCGCTCTGCTTTCTGATGATCATTCGTTTGGTTAAATGACGCTGGTGTCTGCAAGGCGAGACGTGCAGCGCAGGTTCAAACCCTCCGAGAAACGAAACATTCGCTCCCAAATGTGAGGGCTCAGGGGTTTGCGTTAAGGGTTAGGTCAGCTTAGGTTTAACTTAACTTCCACCTAATTTAAGGTAACCATGGCCTTTTGCATACACAAATGGAAAAGCCAATAACTGAGGAACTGTGAGCCCAAATTTCATCTGTGATCCATCATTTGAAAGATAACGGCTTCTAGATTCTGAAGATCTGAGTAAAACAGTCCAAACTGCATCAGTTCAACCATGAGTCCAAGATGGTTTTTTCTCATAAAAAAATTATAGCTTTTTATTGAATAGCAGAGACATGTTTTAAAATAGGCGTGTGTCGTTATTTTACATTTGTTCAACATCATGTCAACAACAGCAGAAAATTTCAGACTTCTAGGTATAACAGTTCTAGATAAATGGGAACTTTAACTTCTGGAGTCATTGGCATCTCCTATAAAGGGTTAAGATTTTTACATTTTATTTCAAAATGAGAAAAATTCTGACGTTAATCTCAGATTATACTGAAATAAAATTAAAAAATCAGTTAACTTTCTTTTATTTTTTAGTGGCTCTAATCCTCTTCCGTAATCTCTTTTTGCTTTTACAGTATTTTACCTCCAGAATCACACTGGAGTGTTTTGATAGCCACAAAACATTTTTGAAGCAAATATTTTTCCATTTTTCTAACCGTCCATCTGATTATCTAACCGGGACGGGATCCGCCTCGGCGCCGTTTACACCCGGCTGTTCAGCTGGAATGCAGTGTTCTAATCCGCCATGTTTAGCCGTGTTTTAAAGGTCGTTTCATTGGTCAGGGAGCCAAACATGGCGTGTGACCATAACCAATCGCAGGCGGACTTTAGGAGGGGAAGCGTAACTACGGAAGCTGAGAGGGAGCGCTTTGACTCTTCCAGGCCTGTCATGGCGTCAATTCTCCAAACGGGGCGGGCAGCAATAATTTAGCTTTAATGGTTAGAAAGTGAGGAAAACAAACATACCCAGATACACCAAAGTTTAGCTATGGTCATTAGCACGCCGGTTAGCATTAGCTGTAAGGATTAAACTTTCCTGATGGTAAAAAAAACTAATTTCTGTATTGATTTTCTCATCTTGGAAGGTTTCTATTATGAATATGCTGGCTTAATTTTAATCTGTGGAGCCTTTTGATGAATCTGAGAATATAATCTAAGAATCTAAGTTTTGTAACGATGTCTAACATCTTTATGTTGGTTAAAATTGGACTGTTGTAATTTTCTTTAGTCTGAGTTGTTAGTTGGAAACATGAAAACGGCGCCGGCGACCAGGTAGAATTTAAGCTGTTTAGGTTAGGATTAGGTAGGAATAGTTTAGGTTAGGATTAGGTAGGAATAGTTTGGGTTAGGATTAGGTAGGAATAGTTTAGGTTAGGATTAGGTAGGAATAGTTTGGGTTAGGATTAGGTAGGGATAGTTTGG